TGGCATTGGATTCATTGACGGCTGGTTAAAGTGTGAATACTTGCTCCTTTTTTTAGGAAATGTATTTCGGCAGGAATTCATTTTTGGTCAAATTGTAAATTACCATGACAAGGCATGCCTGCGAGGCGGCACTTATATTGCTGGTATATCGAAATTGATCCTATTCGATAAATTTCTCCCAGCATCTTTCCAAATTCCATGTTTGACATGCAGACCAATTACATATTCAAGGGTGAGAATAATTAACATACGAGGCATTCGGAAACTTTGGGATGCTAATAATAGGGACATGCAAGAATATAAAGTCACCGTGCTGGGTTCCACAGACGGAACTTGTGGCTTGTTTCACTGGGGATATGTAAACTTGGAATATACCCACTTCTGTCCTATAGCAACAATTGCTGAAAAATATAATTTGACAATGGTACAAAATACTCGCTTATCGAGGGGTGCCGATGTTGGATTTGGTTTCGTATTGGAGACCAAGGATGGCACAAGCGTGCGAAATTACATTTACGGAGTCACTTTCAGATACGTAAACTTTATGACGGTAACAAACCCACCTTCCACATCTAGCGGTGTGGAGGCGTTCATTAAACCGTTCGACGGCGAGACCTGGGCTTTCCTCTTGATCACTATAGTTTTAGTGGCAGGGTTCCTGACAAGATTTCGAGAAGAAAATAATCACAGCAGTTATGTCTTGACGGTTGTTGATAGGTTTATTACGGTAGCGTGCATTCTCCTCGGGCAGGTTGGAGATAGTACTGGGAAGGTCTTTAGTTCTGTCAAAGTTTCTTTAATTCTGGTTATCCTATGGCTTTATGGAAATTTTCTAGTCACGTCCAATTTGTATCAGGGTTCAATATATTCATTACTGACCGTACCTTCCCCACCAAATATTCCGGAAAGTGTTGAAGATCTAGTTAACTGGGATATACACATAGTAGCTTCAAATGTAATATACGGTTCTCGCGTCCCGAGATTGTTTGTGAATGTCACGATTCAAGAATTAATTTCGAGTGGTTTGCAAAGCCCAAAATTTCTAAAATTCCTGGCCAAGTTTCAGGCTAGGCTTTTATCCAACTATGATGCTTTAGTGAAGTTTATGGTCAGCTTAATTATCCAGGGAACGGGAAACCAAGAAAGCATGGCCTTACTGCTGTTTGAAGATGAGTTAGAAAATGAGAAGAAATTCATTAGCACCCTTGGAAACCGACATGTTGTCGTCAACAAGGGCGACTCACCGTTCAGGTCTACAGTGTTTAGTCAGGGTCAAAAAAATTTGTTGGCTCCTTATTTTAGGAAGGAATTTAGACGGCTAGAGGAAAGCGGGTTGGGAAAAAAGTGGGCATCTGTTGCCTGGATAAGCAGCAAGTTACGCCAAAAGAAGACTCATTTCAAGAAAAACAAACAATTTAGGGTGACACAGACATGGTTGGGAAATTTAAAGGAGGGAGCTCTATTTCATGAGGCTACTCCAGTTTCGATTGAGCTTATCTGGCCAATGTTTATTATTTGTGCAGTCGTAACGGCACTAGGGATAGTGGGTTTTGCTGTGGAAAATAAAAGATTTGTGGCAAGGGTAAGCAGATGTGGTGATTCTAATATAGTGTTAGGATTTTAAAGAATAGAGAGAAAAATTTAAAGGATTCATATTTACCATCGGAATTGGGGAACGGTTTATGTGTTATATGTGTTAGTATACATATATATGCCGTGACAGCCCCCTCCTATATAAAAGTAAAATATGTAACATCGGACACGGGTAGAAATTTTCGGTTTCTAAATTTGGAACCCGTGCGGAGTACTATTTAAATTATGGTATTGCATATGAATACATTGCTCCGTAAATCTGTATGGTATGAAATGTATTATAAAATTCTGTGTTTTACTTATTGTGATTGAATATGATCAAGAATTTCCTACTTGTTAGGGGTTGATCATATATTTGAATGTAATGGATTGACTAAATGTGAAATAAAAATCCTATTATTAAGTATTATAAATCTAAAATTTGTAAAGTTTAAATAAATTGTTAAGAACCTCTTATAAAAATTATATTAATGTTTGCGTCATGGTTTTCTGCTTTACAGCCATTATTATAGTACTAGGCGATTTAGTGGTGCCCCTGGCACCACATGAATTAACTTGCACAATTCTGTCCGTCCGTAATATACGTCTTCAATGCATTTCTATGGTTATTCTTCATTTCATAGTACGTAGTTCCACCAAATGTAGGGAAAGGAATTCTGTTCACTTTCTACCAAGAAATATGGCTCCAACTCGGATGTCTGAGGTACGGCATGCCTTTCCCGTCACATAAGATGCAACCATACTTACAATTAGTAATAGTGGTAAGCCAAGGTCAAGTGAGCGGCATGCCCTTTACTTTAATGCGAGTGTTGCAAACATTGGCCGTGAATTTGAGGGTTAGGGTATCTCGATATTTTAAATTTCACAACATCAAAATATGCAAAGCATCAAAATATCAGAAAATTTTCAGTCTCCAATACTGAAATACTGAATACAAAATACTGAATTCTGAATACTGAATACTGAAATACTGAATACTGAATAGTGAAATACTGAATTCCGAATTCTGAATTCTGAATATTAAGTACTGAATACTTAATACTAAATTTTGAATACTAAATACTACTACGCGGCTGGTCGATCAAAAAAATCGTTTAGTAAATCCTGAATACTGAATTCTGAATACTGAATACTGAATTCTGAATACTAAATCCTGAAAACTAAATACTGAATACAGAATTCTGAATACTTAATTCTGAATACTAAATACTAAATACTAAATTCTGAATACTGAATTCTGAATACTGAATTCTTAATACTGAATTCTGAATATTAAGTACTGAATACTGAATACTAAATTCGGAATACTGAATTTCAGTAATTTAGTATCGCTCACTGGGTTTGTATTTACATAGCCATATAGCGTCGAAATATGCGTGTGCTACTTTTTGCTATCCCTTCAGTGTAAATTAAACCATTGCAGGGATGCGTTACAGAATGACAGAATTGGGTAAATATATAAGTTAACAAGAATCTCATGGTACAATAATATTATAAATTCTAGGAGCATATTATTTATTTGTTTGCATATATATATATATATATATAACAAACGCTCAAAATAATTCGATAACAAGTCAGTGCGAAATCTGTGCAAATTATGCAATTCTACGATTTCCTGAAAACTGTTGTTTCTATTTAAAAAAAGTAGCTCCTTCAGCAAATCCCAATCGTTTGCACAGGACCTTTCCAATTCTTCAATTTTGGGTCGGCATCTGGTGTATTCTTATCATCAATATACAACGAGAAGTGTAGCGTTGTTTTCTTGCCTGCCTTACTTGTCAAGTCAGGGTTTTCTAAATGGTACAAACCATTTAGAAAACCAGAAAAATATCATTCTAGCAACTCACCCAATGTTCCGCCAGTGCTTCATTCTCATACACATCGACTCTCAAATCCTGAAAGGAAATATAGTGCTTGTAAAAGATGAACGTCTCTATTAGAAATGCATACTGACATGTATATTGTGGAACTTGTATGTAAATATTTCTGGAAAAGACGGGTTATACGTGCCATCGATATACTTCGTCTTTTTCAAGCAGCGAGGTTTGGTCTCATCATAAATTTCGATATGTAGATCTGAAACCATCATAAATAAATTTTAGCATGGCTTCCTATATTTTCAATATTTTATTCTTACTGGGCTATCCAAACATATCAGTATCAGGGGCATCACTACGCTTAGGAAAATTGAATTTGTTGTCTTAATTTATTGTTCAAAAGTACATATTTTTTTAAAATGACACTTACTGGAATTCGAATCGCATTATGGCCATACTTTCTGGGAATGGTTTTCCATAAGTAAAGTCCGAATATCGGACGCCTTTTGCTGCAACACATGATAAATATGTTAAGATTAAAATATAGCGTGTCATTATGGAACCAGCTTACGACTGAAGTTTCAATAGAGGATAGCGTAATAAAATTGTATAGAGGGGCGGCAACATCCTGGCATTGTTACCATTACAATATCAAAATGTGAACATCATTTTACAATTTGGATAATTTTTCAATCGACAGAAGGATTGACAAAGGAACAAATCGCAAATATATTTTACTTTAATTTAATAGACAGTAATATAAGTTATGGATATCTAAATTTTTTTTTTAGAAACGGTACGGTAGATATATCTGCAAGACGAATAAAAGTATTTGTTAATTAACACACACTCATACCACCACAAAGTGTTTTTCTCAAGTCCACCGATTTTGATGAATGATACCTTAAAATCTACCCAAAATTTCTACCTTTCCACTTTTTTGATCGATCAATACAAGCGTATATGTATAAGCCTGTAGCAGTAACTGGACATCTAATACTTAAGAAAATAAAAAACGTCAAATCTAAATTGTAGCTAATTTATATAAAAATACAATGCGGACACACACGACTTGTAAAATATAAGTAAATTAGTCACAAGATCATTTTCTTACTAATTATTTTAACTGGAACTATTTGTTATTTTGAGATGAGGTTAAGTCTCTACATATTCAGATCCATATTTAACAAATGTTGATAACTATATGTACGTATAAGAGTTCCTTCCATAGAATATCACCTACGTAAGTATTGCCACCCAATGTCGTTGGATATCCATGTATTGATAAGCAACGTTTGCATTAGGGGAACCCAAGTGTAAGATTGCTTTGGTTAAAAGTATGAGTGGTTTTCCAAGAATCAGAAATACGTATATGTATTCGCAGATTTTATGCTACGTTTTCATAATTATTAGCAAAATTCACTTCTCAGATTTAAGACATGGACGTTCAAAATGGAAATAAATATTTCTATGGAGCAGTATTGTAAGGCCGCCTTTATTCTCGTGGGATTTAGAAATACCGCGGTCTCCATGGGTGCAAAATCTATCTAAATATGTCCGCTAAATTTTAATAATAAGTTGGTGCAGCTGGTTTATTTTAATCAAAGCCGAATTAGTGGTTGTCACAATCAAGGTGAAAGCAATGCGGGAAAATTTTACAATTAATTTTTACGTTTGATACAATTGATTAACTTAAGACCTTATGATAATCATACCTTAAGAAATCTGCACATGATTTGTAATTTCAACCCAAACACTCAAGAAACTTCATACCTATTCGTAACATTCCCAGCAATTTATAAAATTCGTACACCGCTACAACATCTTGTCAACTATGTAGATTCTTCCCATGATATATTAGATCATGCTATGATCATCTTAGTCACATTCGGTGGAAACAAACAGTTCTGCGGGAAGCCCTTTCTCCGCAATGAAGGAGTCCATCTTCTTAATGAATCCAGGCGAAAACTATAATGATACAAAAGCAAGAAATTTATTACGGTTATAAATTTAGCCAAAAAATTTCACATTAATTTACATGGTACGCCTTCATGCTGAGTATGACATTCTTGAGTCCCTTCGTGGCGGAGAGAACGCGGAAAAACGTGTCATTAAACTGGGCGTCCTCACCATCGGAAACTCCATCGGTTAAATTTTTTATAGAAAAATCCCACAGTTCAAATTTGAAATACTAAAAGCCATCTAAAAAAATCAGGCAGGGTAAATCTAGTTGTCTAATTTTTAATTAAGATTTTTTTAAATCTAACGATTTACCATACCTTTTCCAAATAATGAGGCTTTATTATCATCTAAAGTTTTGAAGAAGTCCTTACATCCAATACTGTAGAAAAACTTGATGGAAATCCGTTTTAAGTTCAAAATAGAAATTAGGAGTACAACCCTGTCGAAGAAGATTTTCGCAGACTGTATGGGATCGCAAGCAGACAAGCCTGAAATTGCCACAATCTCGAAGTCTTCAAGGTTTGGGAAAAAGTTTTTGTAACGCTCCGTCTCATCGGGGGCCGGTAGTCCGGTTAGTCTGAGTCTAGTCACGGTAGGGTTACTCCAGTTGTCACGCGAATTTTGAAATCCATACTCTTCATATACCAAAAACGTGACCGTCTTAAGCTTCTTCATCGCCTGGCCAGAGAGGTCGGAAAACTGGAAGTGGAATGAGCCTTCACTCCTGACTACTATCTTAGACAGATTTGGCAGGGCGGGAAGGTATAATTGACTTTGGCTTCGGCTCGTGTAGCCTCTGAGAACTAAATGCCGTAAAGATTTTGAAACTTGTGTCAAACTTTGGGATAATTTGGCATTATCCCAATTGTCGATCCCGCGAAATTTGAAAAATTTCAGATTGCTATTCTTTCCCAAATCGGGCGCCCAGTCAGTGTGGATTTCCAGTTTTTTCCAATCTTCCTGCACTACTAACCAGATTTTGAAAGCAGGCCAGATAATATTCGTCGTCGGTTAGAAAGTTCAAACGTAGCCAGGTCAAGTTCCGCCGTGAGGTTGCGATTATCGGAACCTTCTCGTCATCAGCGGGGGAAAAATTAGAGAAACAAATGTTCATAAATAAGGTTTTCAAATTTGGTAAATTATTCGGGTTCTGGAGCACTCCGTGTAAATCCAAGAATATATCTGTCTCATCACAACCGATTTTCATGCGGTTTATAGTTGAATAAAATTTGTCCATGATGTGGTACGAGATATTAAAATTGTGGTCAAAGAACTCCACCCTTTTTGTTAATTTGGGGTTCACTTGTCCCAAAAATGACCTGAACTCTCGTTCATTTGAAAAGTCATATAATGCTATCCCCAGCCTACCCTGAGAAATGATAATTTCATTCCAAAAGTTCGACACGGATCGGGCAACCTTGGGAGGAATGAATTCCAGAATTTTAGCCAAGATCTGAAATTATGAAAATAATTAGTGACTGTTAAAATTTTTATTTTTATATATTCGTAAATATTTACAATTGCATTGGACATGGCAGACTCCATATTTATCAAGGTTGATGATGATGAAAGTGTTTATAGAATAAGGTAAATGTCTGGCGGTAAACAAGTTATCAATCGGTTAGTTATATGAGTAAATATTTAAATTATTGCTCCCAAATTCTTAGGTAAAAAAGTTTCCTACAAGAGTTCAACTTGGTACGAATATCGAGGTAGAAGTAAGATTTATTTCCTTCTGCCAATGTTACCGGTTAAAAACGGACAAAACTAAGGAATGGGCTAAAGCCCCTAAATTAATTTAGAAAGCGTTTCATCCCTCACTGTTAAGGACCCCTAGCTCTTACATACATAAGTAGAATGCTCATAAACCCCAAGTCCACTCATATGTATAGTGGTAATATTTCTAATATGTATGTATGTTGGAGAGATACACCCATTCATGCAAGCAGGTCTGGATGTTTCTAAGGCTTTCTAAGGCTTATTACAGATTCTTTTATGTGTACCCTGTCTATTCCCCTCGATTTATGTGCAGACTGGGCCTGACCAGGCGGAAACTCGCCTAAATCCAGAAGCAAGGTTGACAATTACTGATATTTGAGACACCGTGGGGCGGAATTTCACATCGCCACCGCTTTAAATTAGTCCATGTCTCCGTACAAATATGTATGCCTGGATGCTGTTCAACCATAGTAAAGATAGAGTGCTAAATACATTGGAATATTCAGCGACAATATATGTACGTATGGAAGGTGCCACTCTTGGCTAAAACACAGTCCCATAAGGGATGCAGGCCTGAAATTAGAAGGAAAACATGATCCCGCAATAATTTTAAAATTGTGATATAATTTTATATGTTGATTAACGAAATCAATCCATGCAAAGCGAATTCTATCCATATTAATTCTGTCGGGCATATTTTAAAAGCGTTTTTTATACGAGATTTTATTAAATTTCCTAGATAATAATTTAACGTAAAATAATTTCTACGACATAAGTATTTAATTAACCGTGGCTCGTTCGGCATGGCTAAGGAGGATAACGTACGACCTTCGCAATGCCGGATTTCAAAATCCTTTGGATATGTTAATGGTCTATATGAGTAATGAAAAAGTGAAGGAGGGTTAGACTCACTGAGCCCCCTTGCTCCCGCCACACCCCTTTGAAGGTGCGCCAATTGCTAATTTTGCAGCACTAAAACCTTCACCAAAAATCCTATTTTGCTCGAATTTTCATAATTTTTACATTTTTGTGATCCCATATAGTTGCTCAATTATATCCAATAGCTATCTCAACTTTTTTTGAAATTTTCAAAATTTCCGAGCCATGTTCAAAGCCAAGTCCAAAGTCCAAAGTCCAAAGTCCAAAGCCAAGTTAAAAAAAAATAAAAATTTCAAAAAAGTTGAGATAGCTATTGGATATAATAGAGGAACTATCTGGGATCCCAAAAATTTAAAAATTATGAAAATCCGACCAAAATTGAATTTTTGGTGAAGGTTTAGTCCGTCAAATCGTGCATTTGGCGCACCTTCAAAGGGGTGTGGCGGGAGCAAGAGGACTCAGTGAGTCTAACCCTCCTTCACTTTTTTATTACTCATATAGACCAATAACATATCTAAAGGATTTTAAAATCCGGCATTGCAAAGGTCGTACGTATTCCTCCTAAGATACTGTAAGATTCTGTAAGATCATTATGTCATAATGATATGATTATTATCAACGCTTTGATTATAGAAATCTATTTTTATTTCTGTAGGTTGAAAAATATTTCTTATTAAATCCAGATAAGGAACGATACTTTCCAAAACGAGAAGGACAACTCAAAATTTCAAATTGTCTCTATCACCTTCATCTTGACTGACATCACCCTCCAAATTTTCAATGCTTAAGCGGAAGCCAACTGCCATGAGTTGCTCAATGTCAGTGTGGCTTTTATTCAGTGGCTCCATTGTATGTTGATTCAGGTCTGCAGGCTGCTCATCCTCTCTTTCAGGGGTCTTGTTATTTTTAGTAAACATAAAATATCTGCAAAAAATATGTTACCCAGTGAAGTAGACAGATGTACACATTATAATAAATTTGTAAAAAAATAATACCAAACAAGTAACATTGCGTAATTATTTGCATACAACAGATTTTTTGCGGCTATACAAACCTAAAATGCCGTTCCGCAAAAATATTATAATAACTAATAAAATTTCAATATCCTTACACAAAAATAATCTCAGCGGGTATCGTTATCCCTGCCGAGAGCAAGTAGAAAGCCCCAGCAAAGTAGGAAACTGTATTTCGATACACGATTGCATAAGTAACCCCTGGTGCGACGTAAAAGATGTGGACCAAAATCAGTAAGTAGAAACGCCAAGGGTTCTCCCGCTGTTGAAATAGCATTTTAAATACTTGAATTAATTTCGTAAGTGGATTATATTTTTTCCAACAAGGGTCGTTCCTTCTATTTTTGGCGGACCCACTATTTTCGACGTCATGGTCCGAAAGTGACCCCGGCCTTTCATTTTTGACCTTGAAGAGCACAATAAGCAACGCTATTCCCGACAACCCGACCGGAATTAGGAGCGACTTTATGATCCCGACTTGAAACTTCATCAGTAGTCCGCCAAGCACGTAACCGATCGGGGCACTTGATCTCACAGATGCCCAGAAGACGCCCATTCTCACTGTCCTGTTCTTGGGGGTGGTAGTATCACAAATGTATGACCCAGCTGACATGGAATACACCGTAGCGCCGCCGGTCAACGTAGTCGGCAACATGGCCAGAAGTGCGATATAGACAGCGCGGATTTTTCCTAAGCAGAGATATCCCACGATCATCATGGTAGGCATTAGAATTAGTCCGATGGTGGAGACGAGGAGGGGAATCTTGCGTCCGTAAGTGTCACTCCAAGGTCCGATGAATAGCACAACCAGGACGGTGATACAGCTGAACACGACAGACGTAACGGCTTGCACGCCAGCGACACCTTTTTGAATTTCGCGCTCCTCTGTTTTATAGGTTATGTTGCTAAATTATCAGAAATCAAAGACTAATAAAATAATGTTTGCCACACAGTAACTCAATTCGAACTTGGGTTTGCTTCTTCAATTTTGTAACCTTGATAACCTAGAATCTGTCATAGAGCTCAACCAATATTTAAATTATATCTCTGAATCTTGGCAAAACGTCAACAACTCATGCTACAGACTGGTCAGGTTTACACTATCAATCACATGACTTATTTGCCATCATATTTACATGTCATAATTGATATAGACTTACACTTTGTTGATAATTTTTTGCACATTTCCGCTTCGTAGCCCAGATCCACACGGCAGATCGTTTCCATCATGATATTTTGAAATAGGAGATTGGAAACTACCATGCTCAACACGAGGAGGAATCCGGCCGGTTCAACGGACAATTTCATACAGGAAGTCCAAAAAGAGTTGGTTCTCGGATTGGAAATATAATTATTTTGAGACATGTTTAATTTTTTACAATAATCTCAGTAAAACTTTTCCAAGTTAATTGTAACTGCTGTTTTTGAAAAGGCGAAGTGAGGAGATACAAATCGAACTATTTATGCTCAAATACGTAACACAATTCATATTAATCTCTGTAAAGATAAGGAAGGTTAGATAAACCTGTCACAAAACAATGGGTTACAAAATAAGAATTAGGTAGCAGAACTGGTTAAGGATATGATGTGTTGAATATTTCAGTTGAAAAAGATCAGTGTAAAATTATGAAAACCGGGGGAACCGTGGGGACAAACTAACGTAGTCCATGTAAAAAATTACGAATTAAGTTGGAAAAACTGTCATTCCATTCGATAGATGAAATAGGGAGAGAGAAAACAACTTATGTAATTTTGAAACAACTAATTGTTGCAAAATTAGAATCTGTGATAAAAATATTTTTTATTAATTCTGTCTCTTATTGAGAGCGTAGACACAATATACCAAAAACAATTTGAGAGCTAAATTGTTCAGAATTTTCTTTAAAGGCAAAGATTTGGAAAAATTGAAATTACACGTGTATATAAGTGTAGGTAAAAATTATCTTTTATTGTTAAAAGTGACATAAGTTCTATCGTTAATTTTTAACAAACACTTTATTAATTTATAAATAATTTCTAATTAATCAATTTATGCTATTTTTTCTGGCCTTTATATAGTTTGCAATTTCATTTACTTAATTCGTGGGAGAAGTTGTTACACTCTTCTTATATATTGTCACATTAGTTCCATTCGTCTTTCCTTTATTTGACCCAACTCACGATATCTCGCTCGTGCCATGGAACAAAGGCACACGCGCGAAGCTCTTGCGAAATTTTTAACCCCCTGGTTCCCTGAAAATACATATACATAACCATAACTACAAATAAAATGAATTTTAAATTTGATGCACACTATTAAATAATCCGATAAAATATTTTACGATTTGTTGAAAAATATATGTATGAAAAACTTTGATGATATGAAACTGGTATAATCAGATGTCGTAACAAATAAAAATAATTTCTACTGGATAATTTAGCTTATCCAGTCTGTGATTACCTCAGTCGGAGTAAATCTCATGTTCCCATCCACACAATCCCTTTCAACTTCCTGAGATTCATCCTGGCGTTTGAATTTGGCTATCTGCGTGCAATTATTACAAATACAGAATCTGTAGAATCATTTTTTGACACAATTACGAGTTTATGAAATTGGAACAGCTCGCTACCATCCGGATCATTTCATCTCTAATCAAATATTATTGAGTCATATCTAACATAATTTTTAAACCTACCAATTCCTCCAAGGTTCCTATCTTGAGTTTCAATTCTTCCAACCGAGAGTTACTGTTTGTCGTTGCTTCATTTTCAGCGGGATGCTCTGGTACTAAATTTTCCTGTACCACTTTCAAAGGAGGACTAATATCTACACAAAAAATATTAATTTAGTCTATTACGTTATTATACTTAAATATTACAGTATGTATCATGCAATTTGTGTTGGTACTCAATGTATGTATATCTACGAGACTTTAATAACGGATGTACATTGGTTTTTTCAGAGTGTACAGCTACATATGTCTAAGGTTCCACCCCCTTAAACTTAACCCAGGGAACTTACTTTCTCCACTTAAGAAATCAATGGTAACTCGAGTGCCCCAGATCTCAAGTAAAATTGATCCGACCAAGACAAATATCGCGGACAAAATCCAAAAGAAAAATTTTCCAACGTAACAATAAAGTTTGTACACGTCTTTCTCCTTCTCAGCCAAGGTCTCCGTAACCTTTTTAATTTGAGATCCTGCATTTTCATATGCAAGAAGTGCCATCTGTCCAAAAATCAAAACCAGGATGACGGTTATGATGATGCTAGCGTATTTTTCGGTATCCTTCTTCTTCACCTCCATTTTCGAAATGTGCTTTGAAATATTTCAGAAAATATTCGATGGCAAATTAGACTGATGTAGTTTACTCTGTAGACTTTGGTGAAATAATGACGGTAATTGAACCTTTTCTTCCTACCAAAGTTCAGTTGTTATTTTGGGACGCATTCTTCTCCTGCGTGTAGTGGATGTTCAGGTACTTCGAATGGTTGTATTACTAGCTGAGGGCAAAGACCGGGGAGAAATAAATCCTGGTCATTGTTCAAAAGGTGAGATTGAGTAGTTTTAATCCTTTCCGTTAAAATATGTGTTAGAGTGATGGGTGAAAACCTACACGTAATAATAAATAATTTTCAAGAAGATGGGATAAACTTGGGCTCAAGGAGAAAGGCCTCGGAGCAATGGGGTTAATGACCAAACGACAAAGCTAAAAGGTTCCTTTTTATGACAAAATATTCCAAAATGTTAATACGTCCAGCTTGCACGCGGTACCGCAGGGAATACTTAAAGAATTTTATACCACGGATTTGTTCCTGTTAACCTGTATGTAGAGGATTCCCCTTGAGAGATATCACTTCTGGCCAGTAAGAGAGCTAAATCCCGATCCAAAACTATTCTGCATACAGTCGTGTAAATGTGATGTAGAAACCGTGCACTTCTTATACTTGACAGAAATAAGGACCAATTGTCTTCCTGTACCTTGAACTTCTCTGATCTCACCCGTGCGATGTGGATGACCCGATCAGATCTTGTCGCTAAAAATTGTGGTCTCTGCCATTGACATGATTTCGAAATTGATGATGTCTCCCTTGGAAGACCGGATTTTATTAGAGTGTTGAAAACTCCACCTGATTGCGAATGTTCCAAACTTATGGCGAAACCTGTATTATGCGTACAAAATTGGAGAAGAAGAATGGATGGTTCCTGATTTCGGAATGAACGACTTGTATTTATACCCATTTTAAAATACATGGGGAAAAAAATCTTGGGAAAGTAATTAGTTTAAGTCATTCGGGCCGAATTCATAATTAATTAATATTTTCGCAACTGACAACTTTCCAGTTCAATCACGCTTTCTGTGTAACCTAGTTATGTTATCAATTCCTCCATTAACCCATTTACTCAATGGCATTTAGTATATAATACATATTTAACAATTCTGAGACAATTATTTCATAACGTAATCTTGTCGGATTCCATCTCATTTGAGAGGGTCCACAATACTCCACTCCTCATATAAATTAAACTGTGAACAAACAATTCCGCATTTGAGATTAGAAAGACATCAGAAGATCCAGGTGTCAATCATCTTATTATCTTGCAGATATTAAAGTGTTTATTTAAACCCATTACATTTCAGTCGAACTCCACATAAAACTGGAGATCGTACCACATAAATCTACACACGTCAAAAAGTTCATATTAAATTTCTCCACCAACGTTATACATATTTAATTATCGGTACAAAATAACATGGGTTTGAAAGAATTCTTCCGGGACGGATCCGTCATTAAAGGTGCGGCTGGTTACATCATTGGCAACGCGTTCATTGATGTCGTGGCCGTATTTACATCTGCATTTATCATCCCTGTGTTCGGGATATTTGGGGGCATCCCCGAATTTAAGGGGTTAACCTTCACAATCAACAACTCAAAATTTTATCATGATGCATTTCTTGATGCCATAGTAAATTTTGCCATCGTTGGGTTGGTTCTCTACCTTTGTATCATTCTTCCCTTTGACCTAATTAAAAAATATGTGGTCTCTGAAAATCCTCCTGTGGAGAGAGAATGCCCTCGGTGTTTTGTCGAAATTAGTAGCAAGGCCAGTAAGTGTCCCAATTGTACTGTGTATATCGAACCACTTTGGGTAGTTGAAGATGATAATGAGGTAATGCAGAATTATTTGTAAAATAATTGTAATTACACAATTACTTAATCAAAATTAATTAGTTTTTTAATTAACGTTAATAAATAATAGGAATCAAGTAAACACAATTGTTATCCGGCGTCTGATTTTTACTGTAGCAGACATGCAAATTTCCGCTGCTGTAGGATATTCCGTGTTCAGGAGAAGGGACCCAGTGAACAAACTCCTAATATGGATCCTACTCTTCCGAATTCCGTCGAATTGGCGGAAAATTTAAATTGAGAGAAGAAAGAATTGGATATCCTACAAGATGATGACAACGGATTGTCAAGAAGTTCACTAAAGCAGGTGAAAGATTCAATTTAGTGATGAGTATTCTGTATAACTATTTACTCATTCAGTTAGGAATGAACTAATTCTTCATAATTTTTGCATTTTTGCAACACTATAACGAGAAAGAGTTTAGGATATGATTGGTGACAATTGACGGTTGGCTACATACTAGTCTATACGATATTTATAGTAAAATTATTGTAAAATCATTTTTTTTCACATGTAAATGATATTAATGAACAAGTAATAAACAAATATTACCAGCGAAATGGATATCATGGTTGGTCAAGGTGGACCTTTACCACTTTATATTTAAACAATCCATCAGCTCTATATTTAGTTATGTAGTTAATTAAAATTGTTAAGCAAATTACCGAGACAATGTAAAATTAACTGTTACATTTACCCAGCTTTATAGGTTCGTAACGCATCCCTCCGACATACATTTCGTCGCTATGAGACAACACAACACACCCTGTGAGGGACACTATGGCAAAAATTATTCTTCTGCACCTCTATTTTCAAAATACATATGCTATAAAAATACTTATAAAAGTAACTAGGCGATATTGTGGTGCCCGTGGCACCACACATAATCGTACCCATGTGACATTGTCGTGCACGACCTAGCCTACAGTGTAACTTTAGGAGGCCAGAGCCCCGGCCCGACTCTGGCTCCGGCCGACGATCTGGCCTACGATCTGGCCTATGGTGAGAGTATAGGGCCAGAGCCCCGGCCCGACTCTGGCCTACGGTGAGAGTATAGGGCCAGAGCCCCGGCCCGACTCTGGCTCCGGCCGACGATCTGGCCTACGATCTGGCCTATGGTGAGAGTATAGGGCCAGAGCTCCGGCCCGACTCTGGCTTCCTCGCACAATCTGGCCTACGATCTAGCATATAGGGTTACCTTAGGAGGCCAGAACCACGGCCAGGCTCTGGCTATGACTCTGCTCAGTAATACATTGTGAAATAGGCTGAAAATAATGCATAGAAGGGATGCGTTACAGAAGGACAGACAGACAGACAGACAGATAGACAGACAGACAGACAGAATTGGGTAAATATATAAGTTAATTCTTGAGAAAGTAAGTACTTGCATATCTACCAGCTACAAAAAAAATTCTGCGATTCTGAAAAAAACTTTTCTTTGACTAATTTACCAGCAGTAGTTTTACACTAATTACGGTAATCTACAATTTCCCTGTGTAAATTAGGGAGGCACTAAAATGTTTATGGTATACAAGCTTATTCGGATGATCTGTGAGGTGCACCACAATATACTTTTGGTTCTCGGGGAATAGCAAATGGATGATAATGAATTCACAAATAATGAAGTTATATACGTACATATTTTTTATCATGAATAATTGCGTAATACATATGGATCTGAAGTATTAATGATTAGTAACTTTATTTTAAGTCAAAATATTTTTTTTCGTGAAATAATTTCTCAAAAATTATAAATTATGTAAAACAAATTTATATATCCCCTACCAATTCACTACAAATTGTAGAAAATAGCAGTTACAATTTCATTTATTACGATTCAATCGGGCACCGGGAACTCGTTCCCCCAATCTGAATACTCCACGCCTTTCCAAAAACCCACCAGGTGACCCAATGTTCGCAGTTGCACGTGCTCACATTGTAATATTGGAGACCCCTTGAGATATCCCTTCTGGCCCGTGAGACAGCTGAATCCCGTGAATACGGGTAATACCCGAAACTGTTCTCCATAAATTCGTGAAAATGTGATGTAGAAACTTTGCACTTTTTATACTTTGCGGAAATTGTGGACCAATCGTCTTCCTGGACCTTGGCCTTATCCGATCCCACCCGAACGATGTGGATAACACGGTCAGAACTTGTCGCTAAAAGAATATGATCTGCAATTGGCATGATTTCGCACTTAATTATGTCTCCCTTGGAAAATCGGACTTTATAAGAATCTTGCTTCTCGTTAGCGAAAACTCCACCGGATTGAGAATGTGCCATACTTATGGCGAAACCGGAGTTATGGGTGCCAGCTTCGGATTCGGAAACAAAAATGGAAGATGCCATTAGGGAAAATGTCCAATATAAACCTACACATTTGACAAATTGAATAAAGCAAAAAATCAATGTAGGTTTTTACTCTTAAAAAATTGAAATTGAAATTTATTTATTTATCCAATTAAAATTCTTAAAAACTTACATATTTTGATCATCTTACCGAATTGTTGTTTGAGCAATGTGAACTGATATTGAAAAATTATTCTAATAATTATAGAATCGAAATTTTGCGATTCGCAAATTATGTGTGGTGGTTGAGCGAAAAGTGAAAAGATTTATATACAGCAAGGCCGTACACTATTTTTCTGAGAAATAGTTCATGAACAATTCAACGAAATTTACATGATTGATGTCGCAATAAATCGAGCACATTTGTCTCTTCATATGTCATGTTTTTTTCTTAGGTGAGGCAAAGCCGGAAAGCGGGGCCCCGTCTCAAAAAGCATATGTGAATATGCTCAAGTGGGGCCCTGCGAAGCATAAGATATGCATTCAGCGTGGGTGCTGAAAAAGTCTCACAAAGTTTCAGCCAAAACGATGCGTCTAATCAAAAAATGACAAGAGGCAAAATAATTACAGCATTCTCTAACTTAATTTCCTTTTTCTTCAGATTTCGAATTCTGTCAGTTTTTCCAATAGAAATTGAATTTTGAAATTTTGAAATTGCTGATGTCTGATAAAAATTTCAACTTTTAAATTAGCATAATTTCACAAATTAATGTCCTAAATATAGTCTATTTTTCATCTATAACATGTGCTGACCTAAAATAATTATTGAATACGTGATAGACCAAATAAAGATTTTATCCAGTTATACAGCAGTGTACTGTCAGAAGTATATGGGTAAATAAATGAATTTTACATATGTTGTTCTGGTGGTCGAGTGGTGTTAGGACAAGCGGTAAGACCCAAGGGAACCGAGTTCGAATCTCGTTGGATCCCAGTTTTTTTGCAACTTTTTTTCGCGTTTAGATCATTCATTTTTTATAAATTTTTCATAAATTAAGTTTTAAATTTAATATGTACTCATTTTTAGACCGAGGCATGGCTTATGTGACCGCCATGTCTGGCCATCTAACGATACCTCTCGTTAAATTTATCCGATTGGGTTGAAATTTTCACCATATCTTTATGGGGTGAAATTACGAGCCAAGTTCGAAGATTAGCCAAATCGGCCCAGCGGTTCGGGTCATACATACAGAAGTAGGAGTATTATCACCAAAATTTTAAATTGGTCGTAGAAAGCCGAAATTTGGTACCAAGGTCATTAATGGTTTCTAATGAAAGAATATGGAGTGAAATTTGGAAAATTTTTAACCGGAGGTAACCCCTGTGGGGTGACCCCCAACGATTTTCAAATATTTTCCTAGAACCTTTAAATTTGACATATAGGTCTCTGATTGCTTCAAATTGAGGAATATGAAAATGAAATTTAAAAAAATTCACCCTGGATCATCCGTACTGATTTTTAGGTTCTCATTACCTTTAGTCAACCACTTTTGGTCATTGATTACTTATAGCCAGTTTTCACCGGCCAGTGGTAAAAATGACTTTGGCCGGCTAAAATAAACACTGGTTCGTGAAGTGATGTCAAAAAATTAAACCCGAATAAAAACTAGTAAATAAATACTTTTACAAAAAAATGACTCTTAGGTTCGGCATCGCGGTAAAAAGAAGAAAACAAGTTTACTGTAGGATAACAACGTTGCCGAAATATTAACTATAGTTAGCGAGTCTTGCAGTATTTGCTGAACCGCGGGCCAATTGCATTCCGTGGTTATATTATTTTAGTACGGAAAAGTTATCAATTTTCTCCTTTATCCATGCAACGTTAATTTTTCGTATTCATTCCTTTTCATTCTACTTAAATCAATTTTGCTTATCAGGACTCAAGAATCACCAGTAAAACTAAGAATCAAAGCTTGCTTTTGAAAATAATATACTTGCACCAACATAATCTACGCCATTTTAAAATTAAGTTCTTTCTAAGAATCTTTTGTATTTGTATAAACAGTCCTGATGTATTACATGCACATAATCAAATATTGGTCATATATTTACGTGTATGTAAATGGATATTACATAAAGTCACTGTATTATTTTATAGTTAATTTTTATGAACTCGCCAATAAAATCATACAGGAAGATTAAAAAAAATATTTGAATATGTGGCGTGATCTATATAAAAGCAAATGTGTCATTAAAAACTATGTAGAGGAATTGGCCCGCGGTTCAGCAAATACTGCAAGACTCGCTAACTATAGTTAATATTTCGGCAACGTTGTTATCCTACAGTAAACTTGTTTTCTTCTTTTTACCGCGATGCCGAACCTAAGAGTCATTTTTTTGTAAAAGTATTTATTATAGTGTAAATACATACGTATTAAGTAACTGGGATGAAAAGTTTAAGAAGAAATTGATAAGATTTGCTCGGTAATCTTGAAATTCAGCCATTCATTAATCCGTAAATGCGTGATAACTAAAATTTAAGCATAAATAAATATAAGGATACGTGTACATATTTTATACATATCCACAGATTTTATTCTTATCGCTCATTTATGAAAGGAAATCTGTCCAGCAGATATACAGGTCAACCTTGAACTCTTGGACTGAATATGGTAAATTTAATCTCATATTTGCAAACCACTCATGGACTAATAATTGTACATGTTTCTTATGAATCTCATAGATCCATTTAGTTTATGTTAAAAGTTACGACTGGTACAATAAAGTCCTAAATGTACATAGCAAATAATCTAAATCATAACATATCGCATAACAATCAATCAACTGTAATAGAAAAAATGGATTTATTCAAAATTCCTTTATTGGGAAATTTAATTTAAAATATTGATTCATAATTTATTCATATTTATGAATTATTCACTCATTCATTATTAGTCCCGTAATTAAAGTATAAATACACGGGGGCAAAAACGTATGTATAATAATTTACTAATTAGCACTAAAGACGAGGAAATATTCATTCGTTCTTAAATAATTTAATGAAATGAGCAAAATAAACAATTTTTTTCGAAATAAACAATAATTCTTTATTTCGTACCAATTGAATAAATATGAAAGAAATGAACGCATTTACGCATTCCTCAATTTTACAACAATGAAATACTAAAACAAAATAAGCGCATTTACTGTAATTTCCACAAACAAACGCGTCAACCCCACATTCGTATTTTGATTAACCGTAGCAAAAACAGCACTTCCAATACCAATCGGGATCTTTAGTTTCGACAATCTCCTCACATCCCTGACGTAACCCTGCTTCACTGAACGCCTCATGCCCCTCATTATCCCCACCGCTCGAAAAGACCTTAGCAATCCGACAATACTTTTATATATCCCGCCCGTCTTAGTTAGTAACGTTTTCCCCAAAAAGAAACTAAAAACACCCGTGAAAATTGGAAATACTAAAAGATATCCTGGCAACAAATGTCTCAGTCTGATCGAGACAAACGTCATTGTAACGAGGACCACCATACATGCAACTATGCCCATTGACAGGGTAACCTTGACGATGTCTTCTACCGCCTGGACGGCCAATTGAAGCATTACGTAGAGCTTTATGTGACGGTGGAATAGTCCAATTTGAATTCGCCGCCTATTTATGTGTACTGTTTTCTGGAGAAGCCCTACGATCGTGTCAGCAGTGTAGATGATGATATAAACAGATCCCAGGACAATGAACAAAACGCGTTCACCTTCATACAGGGCGACCGTTACGGAGACAAATCGTGCAACAAGGATGACACTATCCAGGAGGATGGCATTATTGAAGGTGAAAGTGCGCAGAAGCAGAGTGGTCAATGGGGAAGAATTCATTAAATAGTTTACGATGTAGAATGTAGGATCTACTCCGATCACCATAAGAATCAGAGAACCCATCGGGGTGAAGAGGTAGCCAGTCCAGACAAATATTTTTAAGCCAAGCAGGATAAGAGCGTCAAGGGTGGTCGGATCTTGATTTTGGATACGGTATAATTGCAGGGTAGCTGAAATTACAGAAATTTTATTACCGTGAGGTGATGATTTTTACAAGGTAGCACTCACATTTCTTCAAATCTAGCTCCAACTGCAACATCTCATTTCCCCAAAAGATTGATGGTTGCCTCCCCTTAACCAGCCACAAATAGTAGATGCATATCCCACAACTGGTTAGCACTATTAGGAAGAACCACGCCCAAATCCTAATATCCATCGTAGGTCTTATGGACTCAGTTCCGATAGTGATGAATACCGCCCACAAACAAGCGATCAATATACTGGTCAGGATTAAAAGTGGTATAATTGTTTGCAATTTGTCGAAAGGTCGCGTTACACTAATTAGGTGCATACGACCGTTTGACACGTAAAGACTTAATGACGGCTTATATAAAACTGGGTAACGGTCAACGTACAACTCTTGAACGAGCAGCGCCAAACTGTAGTGTTTGTCCATAATTTTTTTCTTAAGTTGAGCAACTTTAGCGGTAAGGGCGGTTTGCGACTTGAGCGAAACAGCGGCCAGGACCGCAATTCCTCCAGTGCGGAAGGACATTGATGTAGAGAATGAATTATTTTCACGATTGGTTTAAGCGAGCTTTTAGGTTGGACTGACCTTTGCGACGAATGTATATTTCATAAATAGCAATCCAATTTCAGTTGATAACTGCTTCCTCAATTTCAGGTTATACTGTAAATTATTCAAACCAATATATTTAATAGAGCTCAAGGAAAGTGGGGAAGAAAGTATGTAAGGTTTTTTTCATTTAAAATGTTCGACATGAAAGAATGTTTACCAGGGTTTGAGTATATTCGAGGCAGTAAAAGTATTGCCACAATAATAATTTCCGTTGAAAGGGTTTTCATAATTTTAAATATTTTATCATATACATATATACTTCCACCAACTTGGTACTTCACTCACATTTGAAAAAAAAAACTTGTCGGTTTTTTTTACATGAAAACAGAATTTTTCGATATCTTCGGTTTTTCCGAAATTTATGTTACAAACAATTTATCTTTAACTAAGTAACTATTATATCTGAACTCCAGTATGCCCAACTCAGACTCTTGGCGTTGGCCTTGACATGGTAAAATTTAAAAAAAATATGCAACTAGTCAAAAGTGATACTAAAATTTGTACCTCTCATAGTCTTTCAGTTGCCCAAGCTGTTTCGATGCTGCTTCACATGAAGCACTAGCTTTCCCAATCAATTGATAAAATCAATTCCACGAATCTGACCAGATTTAGTTTTGATAATTTTCAAATTGGCCGTATCTTTTATATTTCATATATCAATTTTTCAGAATTAAAATTGAAATACCAAATTATGGCTTTTCAAATTACTTATGAAAATCGACTTGATCTGGAAAAACAAAGGGATTTATTAATTGTTAAGAATACTTTTTCCAGAAGTTTTTGCTTAAATATATTTGTGCGTTATTACATACTAGGCAATTCACTGGTGCCCGTGGCACCAATTATTTTAGTATAAAGGCAACTTTGTATGCAAAGCATCCGATTAATCCATGCCTAGGAATTTCATAGTTAATTAAATCAATCCTCTATCGTCTACTCTTTCTCTTGTGTCGTCCATCGTCAAACCCCCACCCTCCATAGTGTATATTTTATCCTACATTCTCTATCCTCTATACAATATTCCCTACAAACTATCCTTTAAACCCTACCTACTGTAAAGGTAAGGTCCAGGTCGGACTTAGCCTTATTGGGTTAGTCTATCCTTATATCTATGTAGGTAGACCTAATAGCCCAAGTCTATGGCTGGCCCGAATGTAGGCCCAGGTGATAAGCCTAACCCGATATCCAATTAGATCGTATATCCCAGGTTGAAGGCTGGCCCGGACGTAGCTCCAGGTTATAAGCCTACCCCGATATCTGGATAGACCGCATTGCTCAGGTCCAGGGCTAGCCCGGACGTAGCCCCAGATGATAAGCCTACCCTGACATCCAGTTAGATCGTATTGCTCAGGTACAGGGCTGGCCCGAACGTAGCCCCAGATGATAAACCTACCCTGACATCCAGTTAGATCGTATTGCTGAGGTACAGGGCTGGACCGGACGTAGCCCCAGGTTATAAGCCTACCCCGATATCTGGATAGATCGTATTGCTCAGGTACAGGGCTGGCCCGGACGTAGCCCCAGATGATAAGCCTACCCTGACATCCAGTTAGATCGTATTGCTCAGGTACAGGGCTGGCCCGGACGTAGCCCCAGGTGATAAGCCTACCCCGATATCCAGTTAGATCGTATTGCTCAGGTCCAGGGCTGGCCCGGACGTAGCCCCAGATGATAAGCCTAACCCGATATCTGAGTAGACCATATAGCTCAAGTCCAGGGCTGGCCCAGACATAGCCCCAGAGGATAAGCCTACCCCGTTATCTGGATAGACGGCATTGCTCAGGTCCAAGGCTGGCCCAGACATAGCCCCATAGACAGAGCGTTACGGACAGATAGACAGACAGATAGACAGACAGACAGACAGAATTGGGTAAATATATAAGTTAATGTTTAGTTAAGATCAGGTTTGACTAAAATTAAATTTCTAACCTGGGTGTCCTACAGGGACACGAAAATCATTAATTTTTTCACAACCTTGAATTATTCAGACTAATTTATTAAAGTTCTACATTCTCTTTATCAATCTACGCAGTTTCTCTTCGTCGTTCACCTATTGCTCAGGATCCCTCCTAACTTCACCAGACTCACACTGATCGCATATTAATTGGCTGTCATCCACGTAGCATTTAAATAATTTTGCTGTGCATTTTATTGATCGGACTTGTTCGCCTTTCACCTCGATAGAATGATCCCTAACATCCACCGACTCCAACTTGATGTTGGATTCCGTGCAAAGAAATACGGCTGTAAAATTTGCTGTCCGAGATTTCCCAGCTTTTCGCGTTTTCCGTTCTAACTCCGTAGTCGTCTTCATTTCTATAATTCTCACAGGAAATCCTTCTCAACACGTTGCGCTCCCCTGAAGATATATATATGCCATAGGATGCCACAGTCTCTGGAATTTCATCACTTAAAACACAACTTATATCCTCCACAACATTATTCGTGGATCTTCTCAAAGCAATTCCTATCTCGCAGTCCTTGGTGAAAATATTTGAAATGGTGTTTCCGCCCTGACAGACCTCTAACCCTGTTTGGCACACGGTAAAGCTGATACGACTTAAGGTATTGTTACCCCTGCCTTTAAAGATTTGAATACCGGTATTCAAATTAAGAACACGGCAATCTGTCAGGGTTGCATTGTCGCCCTGAAGTAAGATACTCTGACCTGACAATCGATAATAGTCTTGGATTGGGAGACATTCCGTGATGCTGGAAACGGTGATGTTATCCAACTTGTTGTCCGTTCCGGTGACTAGAAGGCCTTGATTATTTTGTCCAACGAGGATTGTTAGGTTGGAAATAGAACAGTTATTCCCGGTCATGGTTACGACAGGGTCTCCAATGGAGAGGTCATCAATTTGTAGGATCGTGTTAGTTAGAGATGTTCCCTTAATATAGATACAGTCCCTATCCAACAGAAATGGCCCTTGGTAGATTCCTTGGGGAAGCAGTATTGTTCCAGGAAGAGTCAAATGATTCCGGAATTGTTGAGTCGTTCCAGCCCTTACTTCCGGTCCTATTAGGAGACAATCAGACATTGAGGCTAGTCTTGAGCTAGGATCCTTGTCATTTTGATAATTAATTGTTTCAGGTTGGTGGACTTGACCAATTTATCGGTATCACTAATGATGCTGACATCATTGGCGATTGCAGAGAATGCTTCAACCCTATCGACCCTAGTTTTGAAGAGCTGGACAATTTCGAAGAGAACAAGCCCGACACTGAAAATGTCGGCTTGTTTCCCATACTTGGTCTGGGGCATGGTGGGATTCTTGATTTCTGGCGCTTGGTACAAGGACGTGCCAATGTTTGCTGTGTGGTAGCTCGTGCCGAAGGTTGGGTAACAGCTGGCGTTGTCCGAAATAAAGACAGGAGTTGAGGATGTCTGAGAGAGCCCAAAATCGCCAATTTTTACAGGAAACATGTTATCTTGCGAGGCAAAAAATATATTGGCAGGTTTGAAGTCTCGATGAAGAATGTTTTTACCGTGAAGATATTGCATGCCTTCGATTATATCGCGAATAATGGCTAATCTGATAATGTCGAATTCGGTAGAAGAATTGTGAGTCACGGTGTCTAACCAAGTCCTTAAGTTGGGTCCGCATAACTCCATCTCGATACAGTAAACTATTTCATTCCGTTCAGCAATTCTTCCTAACATAGACTTAAATTTCGTGTAATCGTTATCGCGAAGATTCGGCAAAGCTTGGATTTGTTGGAGAGTGAATTTGATTTCTTTCAGTTGGTAAAGTTTCGTTAGGTTGGGATGTTGAGTGTCTTTCATGTTTTCAAATTCCCGCCTGGCCTTGGACATGGGGGAGGGTGCGGAAGAAGTCTCAGTACTTGTGTCGCGCTCTGATAAGCTTTCGCTACTGCGAGAATTTTCATCAGCGTCTGCCGAATTTGGATCTCGACCAGCCACTATCTTTACCGCTGTGTAATGAACCTCGTCTGCGCTGGCTGGGGCCAGTGCAGTCTAAATTGCAAGGAAAGGTAATAAAGTGTTAATAACAGATAGCCCAGCGATGCTTAACCGTTAATTTTCCGGTAATTTATAAAATGAATTGATAAATTGTGGAAGAACCTTCTCATACTGTCCATGCACTGCCGACAAGACCAAACCAAACGCGCCTGACCCAAGGTAACCAGTAAATTGTATCTTATCCAGCCACCCTGTTCCAACCGGGTCTCTTAGGAAACTCATCAGCTGCTGGAATTTGTTGTCTTGGCCAATTACTTCGACCAGAATTTGATCGATAGATGTGACATTTTCCAAAGTTGACAATTCTTCAATATTTTTAACTAATGGATTTCCCCAGGTTAACACTTCTGTAAACGCAGAGGCCAGGCTGACAATATCATCCACATTGGCGACCGTCTCCTCACGTAGGCCAAGTAATCCACTAGGCAAGTGAATTTTAACAAGCGGAGAATTTAAAGTAGTTTCGCTTTCCCCGCAATAGAACGAACCGCAGTAAGGTAAGCCATCGGAGAATATATTTTTCGAGTGTAGATAGGTCATGACCTCTATTAAATTTTGGATGATGACGATCTGCTGTTGGTGAAATATAGGGGAGTCTCTTCGACAGTGGTTGTTATGCACCCACGCAATGACACTAAAGGTATGGCGCTGTTCCACTTTTAGACAAATCGTATCCACAGTTGGGTTGTCCGTGATTGGGGGAAATACAAGAATAGCTAAATTGTCACCCTTCAGACCGTCTAGGATCAGAATTTCTTCGCGGGTAAACGTGTGGTGGATAATTTGTATTTTGTACAGGAAAGGATGATCCAGAGTGGCGAATTGGTCAAATTGTTTGAGCCGTTTTGCAACAATTGGGTTGGAGCAGAGGCATTTATCAATTATTGTAAGGGTATAGTGGGCCCTGGTTTTTGAATTTAGGAGAAGAAATTCACTTATCCCACCGACTCCCCACATGCTTGCTCTATTGTCGGAAAGTCTCGGTATGCTTATGGACAGGAGGTCTTGAATTACTTCTTCCTCAGTGAAATGGACTAGAGCCATTTAAATTAATTTAGCGAGTTCGACATGTAGAAAATTCACTAAAAGAAATAAAGAAAAAACTTGAGTAGATGTAGAATAACAAACACCAAAAACAGGAATTACTTAAACTTTTAAAATTAAAATTTATTGTGCTCAAATCTTTGAAGGCCAACTTTTGTACACATGCCTACAGTAGAGTCCATTCCGAAAGGAGCAGCTGAGGAAAGATAATTAATTAAATTTATTTCGCAGTTTTAAATAAATGTCAAACTACAAAGTCGCCTTTTTTGTGACAATAAATTATTAAATTTATTACTGTTTCATTCAGCAGGAATATACACTGATTACAGCTGGAAGAGAGGTATTACACATATATATAATTCCTATGTTTGATATACTGTAATGTGTGGCAGGATGACGTCTGACGATGAAGGTGAGCGCACGTATTAATTTGCGTAATTTAGTCAGGTGTGAATCATTATGGGTACGCTTATCTGCAAATTCTTGTACGGACCTGCGATATTAATCGTATACGTTAGATATTGTAAGTAGATATGTGGTTATGTGATTGTGAGCCAGATACCTATATGAAACGGTAATAATTTCTTACAGCCTACACCAAGATGTCGGTTGCTATCTACAGATAATGTCAAAAACTGAATAAATTCATCTGTCTTATTGCTATATACATTATTACAAGAAAGTGTGCATTAATGGGAGTGGCGGAGAGTGTATACTGTCTATCTACGCAACCACACCCTCTAGGGGTATAGTGAGAATGGATTATTAACATCATAAACATTATGATAACAGAGATAGCTGGTGTGTAGATGGAGTGGTGAAATATTATTCAGAGGGTTGTCAATTAGTATAGATTTTACAAATTTGAGACTTATGTATACCATTGCATCACTACAGACTATAATTCAGTCAAGCCACAAAACTGAACTGATAACATGCTGGATCGCATTTACTAAATCCCTTAATTCCACGATCAACTGTAAAATAGTTGTTAAAACTGCATAAATAATTCACCAACCAATTGACCAGGATCTCCTGCGTGGGTCTCACTATCTAAAAAATGAATTACTATTATTTTACAAAACCAGGTATTTTGCTAATTTTTCTCACTTATTTTGCACCCTACATCCTTCCAACTTCTGAAATCTCATGTAGCCTCGTTTGGACACCATTCGACCATGATGACCCCGGTTTCAGCACTACCACCACAAAAACCGTTATGATCCATGGTGATGCGACGCAAATTATCGCTCGTGCCCAAATACTTGGTAGGTGGACGCTTGGAGAAGTAAATATTACTGGAACGGCGCATTTTATTTCAATATCACGTAAAATTTTGGAAAACCAAGAATTCGAAATTTTAACAAATCCCAACAATTTCATAATCAACTGGGTTCCATACTTCGAATTCAAATCATCCTCTTGCCCTACCAAGTTCGTCCCCGTTGGGACAACCAACAATTCAACCATCTTCGTCGGACGGAAGTTCAACCTGGACACCGCCGAATTTCAAACCCACCCTACAAATGTTTCTGAAATTCAGTATAAAATTCCTGTCTCGGAAATTTTGTCCTCCACCACCACAAAGGTCAAATTCGAGCTGCACTCTGCCAAACTAGTCGACATGGAGGAAACGTTCGAAATCTCCGTCGGAGAAACGGCACAATTCCACAATCACGGCGAGGCCCAAGTGCGACGCCCCGTTTCCGCGATGGAACGAAACGTGGAAACAACCACCACAACTAACGGTCTGGATGGAACATTTGGCATGATTTTTGAACCTTGTGATGGTAAACGGTGTGCAATTAGACCCATCAAAATTATACCGCTGGATATCTTCGGAATATTTTGGATTGAGTTGGAATTCCGATTTTTCCTTCAGCTCGAGGCCTTCCTAAATCTCGAGGGTGATCTGACCATCACAAAAATCGAGAGTCGTACAAAAACAAACGTCATTGAAGTCACGATTCCTGGAAAAACATCGGTCCAGGTTTGTCCTGTTTCTGTGACTAGAAAAAGTGAGGCTACTCTCCAGGTCGGGGGACGGTTTCAAGTCGATCAGTTCCATAATGGATGTGGTGCAAATTTACTGGATAAGTTAATACCACAGATTGCCAACCACCAAGGAAATGGGACCGATGTTCAAGTAGAAAACTTAAGTGTTGGCAGGATTCGAAATCAGGGTCCATACAGTTTTGAGTTTTACGTCCTCCAACTTAACTCGTATGGAATGGACTGCCAAAAAATAAAGGATATAATTTCCAGAAAAAGGGAATATTCAAGGGTCGAGATGCAAAAAGTTCTTAAGACGATACATCGATTTAAATAATATATAATTGTTCATTTCTGTAAATAATAATTTAAAAAAATCGTCCTAATGACGCATGTATGTCTACATAATACCATCATAAAAATAAAAATGTGCAAAAGTCGGCATCACTCTAATAAATAGTGTCATAAAAAAATTTGCACGTCGGACTAAAACTTATCAATTTACATAATTACTAGCTGACCGACTAAATCCGTCCACAAATAAAAATCGGCAAATGTCCACAAATTGCACCAATAAATACTATCTTAGAGCTAGCTCAAAATGTGGACAAATAAATATTTAAGCATTCACAAAACCAAGCACCACCAGTCTCTCCATCATTTTTTTAGCATAACCCAAAATGACATCGTTTCTAAATTTCGTAATAATTACCCTGTCCCTTTTATGTAACCCCGCTTACCCCGATTTCGCCCTAAACTCTCCCGTCATTACAAATTACGGAGTTTGGGACGCCAACTGGGTTCAATGTGACCACAATACCTTCGTCAAAGCCATTCAACTCGAGTACAGTCCGTTCGCAGAGGAATTCCCTCCCCCCGGTGGGGACGGCCCTGACACGGACGACAACCACGGCCTGATCCGCATCGCGATAGAATGTTCCTCCATGTCAGACTCTGTTGACCTACCCGGCGCAGTAAAAATCAGTGGTCGTCCCGTCGGTAGTTTTGTCGCCCCACTAAAAACTGCTTGTGACGGATTCGCCACTGGATTTCAACTTTTGTCCGACGAACCTCAAATCGCTTTGGATAACACGGGGGCAAATAATTTGCGAATTTACTGCTCCGGTCTGAAAGAAAATCCGACACAGTATGTCGAAGGGTACGGCGAATATACGGGAGAATGGACGGATCCACAATTTTGCAAGGATCGCCAAGCTATTTGCGGAATTAAGAGTCAAGTTCAAAACTCGGGTAAAAAACACTTTCTTAAATAGAAATACTACAAATTACAAAATTGGTTTTTCTACAAATTTAAGGCTCTGACCAAACCGGGATTAATAATATTCGCGTAAAATGTTGCGACATTCCCAGCCCAGCGACTAACTGTGTGCCCACCGAGAGATGGGAACTCGTCCAAGAATGTGACAACATTCGGGGTAAATTACAAATTGAGTGCAAATTCTTCCGGACAGTAGGAATCGGCAGGACGCCAAACTTTGAGGCGACCCCACCTGGGGGGAAATCACTACTTGATGAATTCTACCAATATTCGGCGCTCGGCTTTACATCTTCCTGGCAATACGGAGAACCACCATTCTGGCTGATGCACGACTTGTCAAACAGATTTGCCACCGTACTAGCAGACAGTGTCGAAACGGGGCAAAACTGGACCGTCGTAGGGGTCGAGACTTGGGGCATGGAGACGTCGACGGAAATACAGTTCAACGTTAAGGAAGGTTATAAGGGAGAAATTTATCAGTTGGTGGGAACCTGTGGATATTTCTCGGTTAGAACGCCACGATTTAGAAAATGGGATCGTAACGTTAATGGAATTGTGGGGTGATAGGGGTCTTGAACAATGAAATTTATAATATTTTTAATTAACAGTGTTACTAATTAATTTTATTCCCAGAATAAATCATTTCAAAAATTAACAAAACAGATATGTACATAAATTAAGGTCCCCCTCTAATAAGATGCCTATCGCATGGGCCATACCCACTTAAGTTCGGATCATCCGGATCATCGGATTGCAGATACGTTCTAAGTACCCATCTCCCATTAAGTCTCCCAGTTACCGTCGCTTGGACACTGCCATCTGGCAAGTTAACAAAGGTACTCTCATCCCTACCCGTGACCCTTAACAGGTTGGAAATTTCCTCCTGGCTAATTTTATTTTGACCATTACCGCCACTCCTAAAAATGGCGGTGGCCTTGAAAGGAATTTCTAAATCTTCATGAATTACCGCGAACGAACATTGTGCTGAATTTTCGCCGCTGGCTAATTCAAACTTGGCGCTAATTCTGACCTTTCTTTCACGTTCGACCCTAAACCCGAAAACATTAGGGATTTCGTAATCTTCCATTTGAATCCAGGTTTTCATCGCGGGTGAACCGCACCATAATATCATGTTTAATTCTACCCCATAAACGGCAGCCCAACTATCTGCGATGTCTTCAACAAGGTCAAAATATTCATCTATTATTCCTTCCCGTTCCAACGTGACCTCTGTCCTGTCGCTGAATTTCGTCGTTATCTCGTCAACCCCAAATAGTTCGTATTTCGCGTTACCTTCGACGGCTGTTAGGTCAATTTCGGTAAAGTCGAACTTCCTCAGGGACACTTGCAGGGACGGATACTCACTCGTGAGGACTTCAAACTCTGAAAATTTTAGGACTTTTCCATCCCTTACGACATGCAGGAGAGAATTTCCAACCGGGGTGGAACCAGCCTTGTAAGTACTGTCGATAGCGGCGCGTCCAATGTATGACGACGAATCCGGTGTGGGCTGGCTGTCGTCTACTTTCACAGCGGTGTGTGGGATTTGGAAGGGCTCGGCGTTTATCCAAATCCAGCGTAAAGTGCAGTTTAAGGGATTGGTGAGGACCTGTTAATATTTTACAGCATTATTAAGGTATACGACTCGACTTCAAGCATAATGAATTTTTTTTAAATAATGGAATTTTTTTTTTTAAATTACCAAATAAGTTTCCTTCTTTATGATATTTTCTTGTTCATCTACACCATACGCATTTCCATCAACCTCGTCTAAATACCCTCCCACGTATTCAGGCTGGTCACCTTGCGGAGCGACTTGCATTTTGGCCACACTGTTTTTGACGCCTGGATGCACGTCAAATTTTAAAAGATTTCCAAACCCACTCGGTTTCCAGATAAGATTGCATTGAATTCCAGTAGTTGTTGTGGGCTTTGGGAAAATTTGTAGTATCGTCACAGTAGCTATGATCAGAATTACGTAAGATTTCTTAATCTTTTTATTAAATTGTGGGAACTGTTATTAATTAAAATCAGACGTAAATTCATTCTAAATATTGGCAAGCATTTATGATGGCATGATTGCAGTATATGTTCAATTCCATTGATTCATTATCTGTTCCATATGTGTCATATCAACTTGATGATGATAATCAATTACTGATTAATTGATTATCGATTAATACTTAATTGTTCGGCATAAATAGAAGTATGTATAAATGCAAATATTCTTTAATGCATATCAACCAATTAATAGTTCTTGCATATGTACAGAGCCAAATATTTAGATAATAATAACTATGACATCAATCAGTGGAGTGGTAGAAAAAATAACCATTATGGTGTGTTTGATAAACCACAACCAGCTTAAGCAGAACACCATTCGGCCCTGACTGCAGAGAAGTGAAGAATTCAGATACAAAAAATGAACTCCAGAGATTATAAGCGATTTACAATTCGGAGAATGCTGACATTCATAGCAGTAGGCACCGTGTCGGGGGAGGATCTCCAATTCACAATATGTAAACGGGGAAGACTGGAGTGGAGCATCCAAATTCCCTTTTCTAGGTTTAGAATAAGCACCCCCATAAACCCAGCCACCCCATTAACATCGTATGCTGCCAATTCCCAAAGTTATAATATGAAGATACTTTATTTTCAGATAAAAAATCTGCTGTATAAAAACCTAAAATATTAAGTTTTCAAGATCTTCTCGTCCATTTCTTATCGTAAAAAAGTCTAAATGTATAGCAAAATGATGGTACGGTTAAGACAGATACATATATTGACACCAGTTTTGTGGAGCTAGTCAATGTTCAATGAAATGATGACAGGCTCACACCCCACTTGTGTCGTTATTTAAAAAATGTCAAAATTTTGACCGGCCGCAGGTAACTTATGATATAGAAGGGCAGTTAAAAAACTTGAACACCGATATGAACCCTAATGTCGATTGACAAAAACTCAATTAGTAAAGTTGCACCTCGCCCAGAAAGATAGCCAAAACAGGAAAAGTTAACGCGTAAAGATGATTTCACTTTAATAATTAATTAATATTTTTATCCAAATGCATTTCTATCTGGTTGCATCATTTCTTTATTAGTGACTGAAGTCGGCCTTACTCATTCCACGAATATAAAATAAATCTCCCTTGTAAATATATTTTCTCTTTGATGAATTCCTTTTTATGGGTTGGAATTATAACGACGGCTCTTCTTTGTAATACATAAGTTAAATCCTCGAAAATGGATCACCTTAATGGAATACTCAAAATCATATAATTAATTAATTTTACAAGGTAATAAATACAATAATTTGTTTACAATTTAATTACTATTTTAAATTTTATTTGCGGCATCGTGCAAAATTATCCGATAATTACATACTGGGCCGAAATATTTATTGCTGACATGACGCACAGCAGGGTCATGTCAAATCATTATTCGATGCAAATTCTATTAAAACGAGAGATACGACGATAAAGTAAATAAATTGCTGAGTGAGGATGAGGACATCTTAGTTTTCATTTGACAAGCAGACAATATTTACATGACAAAATTATGATTTCACAATGTGGATTAATTATCTCATTTTTGCTTCTCATAGACCTGGTATGTTTACTTAAAAATAAAAAAAAATGATATTCTAAAATGCTATCCATAATAGATTACATGCGCCCAAGCAAGCCAACAACCGAAAACCACTTTTACTCCAAGAATTGCAGCAGAGTTATCAAGAGAGATCGCATTTGAACTGTATCATGCCAGAAACACGGAGACGAATAATGTCGACGATGTCACACCGACTGGCAAAAAAGATAAGATATCCTGGGAATTTAATACAGTTGCCATTTTAGAAGTTGATGGAGACCTCTATATTTCTGCATCCATCTTCTCAACAAAGACAACGCAAAAGCGAGAAGAACCTGGAGAACATTTTGGCTTAGATGAAGTGGATATGGCAATTGCCTTAAAAGTTATAAGACAGGCCAAGGTGATGTGCAAAAATATAAAAAAATTTATAATATTGAAGATTTGTATTACTGTTAGTATAGTCTATTAATAATTAATTTCTGCAGGAAATGTCACGATTTGGCGGAAAAATTAACTTTGTCAATCAAAATCAAAAACCCAAAAGTATTTACCAGAGCACAGGAGTTCACGCGGAACCACAGTTAATTAGCCATTTAATAAAATCCTCGAACGCCGGACAGCCACCTAAGAAAGATATTCTCGTTCTTGGAGTGAATAAACCCGTTTGTAATAAATGTGCAACTTCCCTCCCGGCCGCAATTGAAGATGTATTTAATGGGGATTTGGAAGTTGGATACATCGACATTAAATATGGTACCCCAAAAACGGAGCGCTTGTCAAAAATATATGAGAAATCCGAGAAGATTGAAAAATATCCGGCCAAATACAAGCAACCACGTAATATTACAACAAATCTTCATGTAGGAGTAACAGTGAAGGTGAGGTGAGAAATATGAAAGTTAATTTATTTTAGCATTCTAGAATTTAGATATTTATAGGGGATAGATGAGCTTTTTAAAAATAGTTATAAAAAAGAATGCCCGAACTGCGAAGAATTATATGGATTTATCAAGGGTTTAAGGGGGAAGAAGAAAAAAAATGCGAGAATTGTCTAATTTCTTTTCAAATATAAAATATAACGATGGTAAGCAAGACTTATTCATACTCCACAAATCTATATATTTAACAAATTTAAATTTATTAAAATCTAGGCAAGAAATCGGAGGCACGTGAGAAAGCACGTAAGAAAGCACGCAAGTACTATCGAGAGAGAAGAAAACAAACTAGCAGAGAAAATACAAGAGAGTTGTGCAATGAATGTTTACAAGGGTTAAATATAAAAAGGAATACGGCCAACAATTTAAATCGGTATTCTCGAGCATGTTTAAAGCAGACCGTAATGAACAAAAGAAATAAACAGATTTGGGCACGAATTAGTAAACGTAAAACCCGCCAGAAGTTAGTCAAAATTTTTAGACATAAGAAAAGTTAGACAACATGTACTGTCAAAAAAGTGCGAGAAGTCAAATAAAAATTGTAAAAAAGACTCGACCTGAATTTTGACATAATTTATTACTGATCAATTAATTTAAACTTCGCGCTTCAAAATAATTTAATGGCGCAATCACAACTTCAGAATTTAGTGGCTGAGTAACCATCGCATATCCTTCAACACGTTTAACCCTAATAGTATCACTATCCAATTCAAACGGTCCCGCGAACCTATCGTCATTCTCAATTATCCCCAACAAATCTTCCCCTCTTAAAAATGAATGCCATATTTTTGCCTCAGCTTCAAAGTATATTTTCACATTTCTTTCCTCAACCTGAGAACAAGCTTCGATCGCAGTTTTCGCCGGTAAGGTAATCATTTGCGTCGTTAGAACCGTGGTTTTTGCCTCTTGTGAGTAATCCCCGCCAATATTCAGGCTTAAATCTAGACCCAAATGTAGACTGACTGATCCATAAAAAAGTTTTACAGAGAAGGCCGTAACTGCTCCTTCAACCTCGATTTGACCATCCACCCCGAGATTAATTCCGGCTCCTAGCGCGATCCTAAACTTCTGGGAGGATTCTGTCGAAAGCGTTAAAATCTTGGAGACATCAGCGTCTCCTTTGTTGCTCAGTTTTTCGCAGTTTGCGTTGTTGTTTGTTATGTGATTTTGCGTCGTTTGATTTAGGATTTCTAAATGATCCAGCTCTATTTGGAGGACAGGTTTGATGTATGATTTCAAAAGGAAGGTGTCTGACCAGGAGATTGAATCTATGGACAAATAATTTAAAATAAAATTTTTAGGTTGTAATAATACAAATTTTTTATAATCTTACCCATCGGAAATAACGACCGGCATATGGTTTTCGATCCAAATATCAAATTACAGGGGGCATATTCATTACTTTGGGTCTTGATAGCGCCAATATAGGCTTCCTTTCCATTTTTGACCAAATATTTTACAGGGACCCTACTTTCCTCGATTGACATCCATTTCATCGTACAATTAAGCGGATTGATCAAAATTTCGATATCCTCGTTCCCAAAGATTTCTGCGAGTGATTCGATGACAGTGAAGTTTGAATCGATTTCAATAATTGTATACCCTTGAGGAGCTTTTACTCTGCCCAAGTATTTACATTCAAGGGATCCACAACTATTAGATTTTAGAGATGTTGTAACCGACCCGGGAGGAATGGGACACCCTCTGTACACCTCACGCCATTGGAGCGGACACGGTACATATTTCGTTCCCTGCTTTGTCGCACAGGTGGGAGGAGTTTGAAAAAATTGGTGAAAAATTAAGAAAACAAGATAGATTGGATATTCCATTTTATTTGCGACTTTGACAGAATCAAGGTGATTATCTAATGCCGAGCACGTAATTAATTCGCAACCTTTATTAATTTACGACATTACTACACATATTTATATTCCTAATGTCATAAATTCCACCAAATTTCGATTAGTAATTGTCGGTGTTTCTTGTGCCGACAAAGTGAGCTGGGCACATACACAAATCCTTACTTTATTATAGTTTGTCCATTCGCGCATAGGTGAATACTCTATACACACAGATCATGAAAACCAGCCTGTACTTTTCCCTTTTCCTAGTTTATTTCGCCAGATTACCGGGAACTTATTCCAGGGTGGCATGTCCCTTAGAATGGGTCCCTTCTCAGAACGGAGAGTCCCCCGAAGGAGGCGTAATTGCCTTCTCTAGCGATGAAATCGTCGCCAGGTTGAACATTTCGGGCCTTCTTGTACCCGCCCGACTCTCCCCAGAGGATGGCATGGCTTACGGAACTCTTCCATTGGACGAAACGGTACACACATCAAACGTTTATGACGTCCTGACCAACCCTTCGTCGTCCTGTCTTGTGACCTGGGTCGACAATAACGACGAATTAGCAACAAATGGCCAGCAGGTCCAAGTTACAGACAGTTTAATGATCGGACGGACACATATGGTCGACAAGGATGGTAACTTTAACACCGTAGGGGGCACGGTGTCAGAAGGTCAACTTTTCGTCGCATTTCAATCTAAGCAAGAAATCAGTTTGGACTTTCAGGCGGGTGAATTTAAATTTTTCGTTAATAAATAATTTGATTTCCTTAACTAATACATATTAACAATTGGCTGTGTTTAAGTAGATCTTGACATCTGTGTACCCCTTTTTGTCCGGATATCTCTATAATTTTACCCTCCACACGGGTCATTTGACACCTAACCATGTCGAAGTCATCGATCAGGAAACAATTTTCCACTCTGGATTCGAAACCAGCCAGGAAATCAATCATTTCGGAACGATCCAGGAAATCTATCAAATCTCAGAGTCACCCTTTGGGTGGAATGGGATTAACAAATTGACCACAATCTTTACACCTGGAAAAACTCCTGATACCTTCCTTATCGAAAACGGCAACAATTTCAACCTCGAATATACCCAAACTCGCGAAATTTCTTTCAAAAAGATCATCGAACTTGGGCCCACTAATCAAAATGGTGTCCTAATCTGCTCCGGGGTCAACATGTTTCAAGGTGAGGTGGAGTACGAGGCACTTGGCCGATTCGAAGGGGAAAACCTTAGTGGTGATGAAGTCGCAAAAATTCTACAAGCTTCCGGCCGAGCCGTACTAAATGTGAATGGAAAGGATGCCGTCGTAAAGATAAGTGGGGTTATCAACGGGAAATTTTATTCGGGTAAGGTGTCCGCCATATCCCAGTATGAAGTGGGACAGACTTGTGAACAAATTTTAAAAAATATCTAAATTTTGAATAAAACTCCAATTTTATTTTTTGCATAGTTTTTTTTGCAAAATTCTTTATTATTTTGGCACACCAATATTTACTATTCCACCGAATTCCAGCCACCCCACCCCTTGAACTCTTTTGTAAATAAGTATCTCAACTCCTCCTGTGTGACCCCTCTTCCATTTTCCACAAATTTTCCAATCTGACCCTCAATTCTTTTTCTCTTCTCGTTATCCAACTTTCTCTTCTGTTCATCGCAGCCCTTCAGTTCGTATGCGTTGACCGGATTGACCCTGAACGTGGACGACACCATGCCCATGATGCCGTCGATCTGGCCCAAAATTCGGGTCTTGACCGAATTCCGAGTTAAAGTAAATGGACCGGGATACCCTTCTTGGGAGAGAATCGTTGCAATTGTGGTCCCATCCAGATTTCCCCCATCACACGTAAAGGTTGCCACTGCATCGTAGGTGACGACCAATTCGGGTAAAGTTTGATAGGAGCAGGACTCGATAGAGGTGAAGGCGGGGACGGTAATGTCGTAGGAGGCGTCGAGGTCAGAGTCTTCACTGGAATCGGTGGAATTTCCGATGAACGTGGCCACACTGGAGGTTGGTGGGCCAACTGTGGTGGTGGTGGAGTGATCTGTCCCTGTTCCAGACGACTTGGAGATGGAAGAAGAGAAAGAGGTTGTCACTTCTGCATCGGCCTAAGAGCACAAGTACGTAGTAAAATACTTAGTGGTAAAAGCCTAGCAGTAATATTTCTGAAGAAATTCAAATTTTTATGATCCGTTGAGTTACCTTATTTAAGATGCGGTCCGTCCCTTCAAAATTCACACTTAGCATGGACACCTCCTCTAAAAATGTGACATTCTCCAGGGCTACGGTCAGTTGCGGCGTGAGGGATTCAAGCACCTGGAAATCCGACATTGTTGCAATTTTTGCCATACTTCTGGTGGGAAGTATGCAATTGTGGTGCATGGAACCCATTCATTTTTCTCATTTTTCCCACGACCCAGATAAATACTTGAATTTCCATCAATTTTGACAAATCTTTCGGAAACATTGAAAAAATTATGGGGTGATTTTTGTTCCCTGGGAAAGTAGTAGTTCCACTCGAGGCTACATTTCTTCAAAGGGTTTGTCAATAGGTCAAATTTTGCGGAGAGGGAGACCATTTTACCTTCCTTTTTCGAGTAAAATTTTGCCACGCCGCCCCCATCCTCGGAGAAAGTCCCAAGGACGCGTTGCCCCAGAATGGTACCGCGAACGATGTAGTGATGGCCCTTATCTAGGGAAACTACACCATCTGGCAGACTTTTTCCTCTGGTGTACCTTTGCCACTCTAATTTGCATGGGATACCATACTTTAAAATGTTTACTTCGATGGAAGGAAGATGGTTTGCAAAAATTTGCGAATCTGCGCAAAATATTGTAAAAGCGGCGAAAATGTGGAGAAAAGTTGGGGACATTGTAAGTCGCTGTTTTTAGAATCAGGTTTATATTTTACCAATGCAAATTCTGCACTAGATTTGACATTAATGATAAAAATCAGAGATTGAGAATGTGTGCAAAAAAGAAAAGCATTTGCGTCATTTATTATTTGATTTGACTGTTTACCAATTTTTCGGTAAATGATCAAATTAAAGTTGTAAATTGTTCCCAGTTCCGACAAATTGGAGGGATTATGAGTAATTGCTTACTTTCGGTTTGATTTTTATTACCAATTCTTGGTATTAAATACTTTAATTTATTTAATTATTTATAGCCGACAACTTTATATCCAATAACGCACAAAGTATTTATTACTGCAAAACTTTCTTGCACTCGTTTTCTAAAATGATTTCTAAAATTTTAATAATGCTGATATTTCTGAAGTGGTCCGACTCAAAATCAATTTGTCAATTGGTATGGACTTCCAGCAAAAATTGGAAATTGGACAATAACACACCCACTACGGGATTGCTTATCACTCGTGCCAAACTTTTTGGAATTTATCAGACCAGAATACTCCAAAATTCCCAACACGCAACTTTTCACTTCGATAGTGCAACTTCCACACGAAAATTAGACATCTTACAAAATCTTTACAATTGCTCCCTCCTCTGGACACCTTTATCCAAAGAGAGCTTATCTTATTCTGTCCCTATAGACGACATCTCCACCCAACCACGCTTTATCGGACGAACCATGAAAAATGGACAAAAGCAGTGGTCGGTCTGCCAAGTGACGAAAGTCGGTCAATCATGGTCCACTTCCTGTATCGAAACTTCCACACAAAAAATATTCAAGATCACCGCCGACCTTTCCCACCTACAAGTTCTTACCTCTTTCAAAAACACACTCCCTAACGCCAACAAAATAACCTTGACCACACAACCTGATCTCCTCTCAGTCCGATACCCCGGTACGGATTTCATCCGGAACAAAGCAGACGTCACAGTGACACAAACTCTGAGCCAGACACATTCCTTGGAAAAATCCGTGCGGACCAACCTCGACACTTTAATCGATGTGGACATCATCGTACGCAAAGATGTCTTGCTAATCTCCCATGAAGAACATTGGGTAAACAGGAAGACACAAGTGGACAAAAAATCGGTCACAATACGAAGAACGATCACACTCCCGGCCAGAACTTCGGTGAAATCTTGCACCATATTAGAAATCACGAACTCTCCTATACAAGTCGGGTATCTTTTAGGAGACTCTCAGTCAATTGGTACAATTATTGCGGCAGAGAAATCCGTGGTGTCGTCTTACATCGTGGAACCAGTAAATGCTAGAAGGGCTTGTGTCGCAGTGTTGGAAAATGATGGGAAAAACTCGTTGTCAGATTTACAAGGTTTATTCGAACTTTAATAAATTTCATCAGAATGTTGCTTATTTATTTTAGCATCCATATATTTAATTTAATAATACAGAATTTTTGGAAACTGTTTAATCCTACGTTTTATCGACATTTTTTCATCGTAGAAATCTAAATATTTTAATTAGCCAACGGTGTGGTATCTGTGAAATTCAAATTTCTCGGTATATGTAAATGCAAATATTTAGTGATTCATAATAAAATGTAATAAAATTAAAATCCAATAAAAATGACATGCCATATTTTATTGCTCATTTCGTAATATGTGACTCGATAAACTGAAATAATTCGTCTTCTCCAAAACCTTTGACCTTTTCCTGCCTCTCCTTCATATCTTCCATCATCCTGACTGCAGCTGACCCCTTATACGCGTTGTACGGCACCACCAGAAATTCCGAACTGGACGGTGCACTCCCCATAATTGTAGCGTTACTTTTCATCATCACAACTTTATCGTTCAAAAATACCAATCTCTCCTCCGTAATGCCAGCATTTTTTAAATATTCTGCCACCTCCGTGGCATCATTTCCTTTCGCGGAAAATTCTGCATCGCCGTTAATAATGAGGACAAACGTGCTCAACACGATCGTGCTAACCAATTCGACCGAGGTTTTCGCCGGAATATCGACATCTCTCGAAATCGTGACTCCCACTTGTGTCACTCGCCCATTAAAGGTCGACCGGGTCTGGCCAAAGGTAAAATATCCAGCTAGGTCAGCCGGGTTGAGCCAGGGTTCGACCCAGTTCTTCATAATGTTGAGGGACAGACCGATTTTGAATTTGAAGGTAAAGTCGAAATCCCAATTTAATGTTTTTACCACCGTCTTCGAATAGCTGATGGATTCACGGAGACTCACATCCGCCCTGAATAACTTCCACCCCAACAAGTTCCATGTCCAGAGTATAGTTTACAATTTGTTGGATAGATAAATTTCTGTAGTTTAGCGAAAGTTGGGTGTGGCTCGTTAGACGTTGAAAATTCTGAAAATTTATTTAGTAGAAAACTTTCAAAAGAGTTTTTTATTATTCTGAAAAATAACTTACACAAGTTTGTCGAAAAATTGTCCCATTTCCTTGCATAAATCGGCATTGTCCATCTTTCGCAATGGTGCAAACATGCCACTCCCCGGAAACAAAGGTCCGTCCAATAGTTTCTTCGGTTTTTTCCGAAATTTTTACGCTGAACGAAGCCATACTTTTATTTTTGGCAGGGACCCACTCATACTGGCATTGGTTTGGGTTTGTCAAAATTTCATAAGTCCACAATCCCTCTGCTGGGGTGTTGATAAAGTGGCCAGTTTGTTGCGTAGGGGAGTAAAATCCGAGAGAAAATTTATTATAAAATTTTGATCTAGCGATAGGCGCCATAATTTCTGGCGGGCCTGGTAAAAAAATTGGGTTGAAATTGAGACCAATAATATTTTCCTTAAGGTAATGATTCCCCTTGTGGAACGATACCCAAGTTAGGGGACAATTTAGTGGGGTGTTCGGTAAATCTGAGATAATGGGGTTTTGGAAAGTGCACAATACAGATATTATCGGGAAGAAGATAAAAAGATTTACTAAATATTTTAGGAAAGCCATCTTATCCACAGATGCGTGATGACTGATCAGACAGATCCGTGGTATGACCAAAATTGAGTGTTCTGTTATATCAATTTAATTGAGGTAATAACATTTATGTTCCCGTGGTACTAATTTAGATTGGATAGGGTGAATATCAATAGGTAAATAATTTTAAGCATAATAAATTTTATTACCTGTTAGTCAGAGTCAGAGCATATAGAATCATAATATATTTCTGTCTGCCTAACCATAATTCAATAGCAGGTTAAAGGATTCTAAAGAAAATTAGCAGAAACATGTGTCTGCACAGTTAAGCAATCGAGCTCGAAGGTGGGATTGATTAAAAAATTTAATTCATTGGCGGGTCAATATATTCGGCCAAAATATTTTTTTTTGTAATTAGTAATTAAACGGCAACTCTGTAGCGATGAGGGCTGCGGCCATTTCGTAAATAAAGACAAGACAAGACAAGACAAGAATTAAACGGCAACACTGTACTGAGAGGTTTTATACAGTATAGACGCAGTATAGATGCAGTATAGATGTATACTGTGTAAACCTTGTTTACACAGTATAACAAGTTTACTAAACAAGTTATGTGGTAAAACTGCGGAA